TCTCCTTCGATCGAGTGGTAATTGAGACTTCTGCAGCTGTAGAAAAAATAATTTTATAAGGTTAGAGGTTTCCCATACCTCTTGTATTTAATATTTCAAGCAATTTCACGTTTCACTGCTTAAACGTGAGCTGACTAAGCAGAAATCTGAAGCCAATGCCCTAAACTACATTCGACAGTTCGTTTATTTGCACTCGCTGTCTTTGTTTATGATTATGGGACTTTTTCATGGTCCCTTTGACTGTGTTAGTGACTATTTACCACCACAAGCGACGAATTTGCCGCAACAAAGACATACATGTATCTCGCCACGCAAGAAGTGTACTCTTGATTTTCTTAAGCTATACTCCCCTCCCAGGCGCTCTCCGCTCTTGGACGATGATATTGTTAATCGTGCAAACATTTACGATTTAATAATGCCAACCATTGCCATGGCACAATGACTATTGATTATCATTCTCTGAATTCTAGAATGTCCCCTAATCTAACATCATTATCAATGTGTAGTTATCATGAGCTGCCGATACGCGTCTTAACACCATCCTAGAGATTTGTCGTCTTGACCCCTGGGTGAGGAATGGTACACTTTCTCCTCTCCCCTCTCCTCCCCTCACTTCAGGCATGTAAGCAAATTCCTCAACAGAGCCCAGTCACCTCTACCTACTTCATGCTCCTACAATTCCTTTTCCTTACCTACTCTTATCTTCTTCCCTTTCTCCTCTCTCCTCACGCCCCTTAATAATATCTTTCTGCACACTGTTTTCCCTTCACCATTCACCACTATCCCACCCCATCATTTACCACGATTCCACCCCATCATTTACCACGATTCCACCCCATCATTTACCACTATTCCCACCCCATCATTTACCACGATCCACCCCATCATTTACCACTATCCCACCCCATCATTTACCACTATCCCACCCCCATCATTTACCACGATTCCACCCAATCATTTACCACTATCCCACCCCATCAATTACCACTATCCCACCCTCTCCAACCCATTATTCACTTCTCCCACCATCATTCACTCCCCTCACTTACACCATGCACCTCCTTCCCACATTATTTACCTCTGTTCTACCCAGTTAGCATCTCTCTCCCACTGCAGTATTCTCTCCCATCTTTACCCTAGTTTGTTTACCTGTCGAGGGTGTGGGGAGCGTGTTGCTAGTTTCTGCATGCTGGGAGAGGCAACGGCTCGTATATAATCACCCCAGTTCCCATTCCTACGCTCCTGTTTCTTCCAGCCCGTCCTCTTGCTACGACATTCAAATGGGTGACTGTTTAAGAGTCTTAAACATTTATTTTCCGAGTTTTATTCGCTCGGCATTGCTCGGTTTTTCCGTTCGAGCATCGAGTTTTCATCGCCTTTTTCATATATTTTATTTGTTTCCATTGTGGTATACTATAACTGGTTAATATTAATTGACAGAGGACCTAATCTAAATGTAAATCGAGAAATTTACTACCAACTGTTTGTGAAAATTCATACAGAATTGAGAATGGATGGATTTCTTCACTGATATATTATTATTAGCTCAACTACCTAGACAGAGAGGTAGCTAGACTGTAGTTAGTATTTGAACAAATAAGTGTGGGTCATTCAAGCTTCGTTGGAGGCTCGATCATTCCCTGCACTAATTGTGAACAGACGCGCGGTCATTCATTGGTTTATTGCACACCACTTGCTCGTGCAGTGAGAAGTAGCGCAGGATGACAGTATTCCTGCCAGACCCAACTGGGCTCAGCTACTCCTTTAAAAATAATTGTAGTTTTGTATATTACAACTTCTTCACATAGCTAATCCTCACAATACATTACGTAGATACAATCTCAAGCGAGTTTCAAGTATCTAATAAAACTAAAAACATTAGTCATTACTAGATTACAATTTCCTCAATGAACTGTTCGCTCCTCTGGCGGATGCTGGATGTGGATACAGTCTCAGGATTTCAGATATCTTTAACACTGAAATGACTTACTATTTACTGTAAGGTTTGTAGAAATGGTTGGATGTTAGGACACTTTTAAATAATGTTCCAGTGTTGGGTCCTGTCTGTCCACACACTTCACATTTCATGTCACTGGCATCTCCAAGACCGTGCCAGGACTACGGTCTTGGCGAACATTATACATACATACAACAACTTCTTGTGGTCTACTGATCTAGCTTCTTGCTCCTCAGACAAGTTTTACTTAAAGCATTTCATTATGATAAGCAATGGATCTGCTTGTTCCTATCTACATTCTTTCTTCAAACTCTTTTTTTCAATTCTTTACTGACATTTTTTTTAACCTCGGACTGAGAAATCAAAATAATATTCGGCATTTTCTTTATTTAATTCATACTTAGCCAAGTCATCGGCTTATAGTAGCAAAGGCCTATATGAAAGGGACCCCCCAAGAATTGACCTCTTAATCCATTTCAATAATTAGTGTATGTCTGTCTGGCTCCTACTACAGGTGTGTCGTATTTAGATCTCAGACTGTTTAGAGCAAGTAATAAGGGTAGGGAGTTAGAAACAAAATGTCTCTATAATGTACGTGTGCTTGCCTTTTCACGTACTTCCCTGTAATTTCCCATTCACAATTTCGTCAGTTGTCCATCTCTATTCATTTTTTGTATTTAACATACAGCACTGTTACTATCCCATTAACCACTTTTTTATCTACTCTTCGTTATCCTTTGTTTCTGTTTAGATCACTTTCCGTTATTTTGACCTAAGCGTTGAGGTAAAATATATTTTGCGAAGTTTCACAAGCGGAGTGAATTACCAAAGTTAAGTGAGGAGTCGTATAGTGTGTACGGTCATGTTTCTGCTTAGTTCTCATGACAACTGTTCCTTGGATCCTCCACATAGTGTGGCTTAGTGTTCCTGTATGGCTGTCATGACAGCTGTTCCTTGGGTCCCACGCAGTGTTGCCTTGATGTCACACGCCTACTTATCTTTTCTTTGCTGCTTACCACATTTAATTTAACCTAGCTGTGTTCACTTAAGAATCATCCTTCAGAGTGTACCTTCTCCAATTTGTCTCTTCCTCATTGTCTCACATGGTCCACTTAACATTGCGCTTATCCTCCTCGCTCTTTCCGTTTTCCATCATTCAGCACACTAAGTGTTTCTATCATTTCCCTCATTCCCTCAATCTCCGCCCCCCTCCCTTTCTTTCCTTCTGCCACTTACCACCTGCCCCAGCCTTCAACTCTCTCAGAGGGCAACGTTACCCCCGCTACCAACAACACTCACCCCTGAAGTCTTTGACCATTTACTCTCACCCGCTGGTCAAAGTCTTACTTCTACAGACGGGGGCTTATTTGTCCAACTTTCTTGCAAGATTTTCTCGCCTCTGATCTGGCTGGTGCATTCGACCATCCAGGCGTGTGTGTCACCAGGAGCGACTCAGGCAGGTGTACCAGGCTGGCTAGATATTAGCTGTATACACACATACATCGGCGATTGAAGGTGGACTGGAGTGAAGGTATTTTCTTCGTCTGGCGGAACATGCCTCCAGACGTTAGAGCTTGGTTATCATTCGGTCATATTCAGAACGTTGGTTTTATACTATATGACTGTCTCTGAATAATTATAACAGAACGTAGCACGCAAAATGAAAAAAAAAGTACTTAACCGGTGAGCATGTTCTATCACTGTAACAGCGGGTGAATATGATCTATACACAGAATCAACGCTGAGACAGAGACAACGCTAATTTTTCAACGGCATCAACAATCTCGTGAGACTGACATCTCTTTGAATAACTGAGTTATGCAACTGAAATCGCTGAGTGTCTGGTTTGTCTCGAGTTAAAGCCAACCTTGCTTTAACTCGAGACACTGTAATTTGATTCGGAAACAATGGGTAAAGTCCGCTGGTTACACAGTTGTCTCTTGTTACGACAACGACACAACACTCGCATCTCTCCTCCACAATCATCCCCCCTTATTTGGCCGTTCACTTGAGGCCAGGTAGACGCACATGACCACCAGCTCAGTATTTAAGAAACAGCAGACGCTACCGCCTAGGATATCAACACCACAAAAAGTTAACTATGAATGTATAAATGGGGTGGCCCTTCTGGTGCAGGTGTGGGGACCCATAGCATTTGAGAAATACAAAGGTTTCAAGGAAAAAGGCTAAGATTCTCCTTCAGACTGTTGGAATATTTTACCTTCCCTACCACTCCATCTTTTATATATATATATATATATATATATATATATATATATATATATATATATATATATATATATATATATATATATATATATATATATATATATATATATATATATATAATGAATTGTGCCTTCTTTATTAACAAGATTTTAGACTATTTTGATTTTTGCTCTTATGCTTAAATCAATATATCTACATGCTCAGTTTAACTAAGTTTAGCTAGTTTTGGCTTACATGAATATCAATAAACGTATTAATAAAAACGTGACAACGGTTTGAAGCTTGACCTAAAAACTGGGATCCCCTGAAACGACTCAGTAATGATTAAGTAAAAAACTTTGTAAGGTAACACTAGACATGTCGAGTATTACAAGGTTTAATTAAGACAACGTTTCGCTCTTTTAGAACTTTACTAATTCATGATAAAACTCTCCTTGAGCTAAACACTGTTTTTAATGAAGGTATCCACTGTGTGGGAGAAACACTGTAGTTAATAAAGGTATCCGCTGTGTTGGAGAAACGTTGTGGGTTAACAAATTGTATTATGTAGAGTGATTTGTGAATGTGGGTAATCGAGTGTGTCACTCCTGCCCCACGAGCACTAACGTCGGTCTATGACGCCTATCATATCTATTCTTGAAACTTTGTATTGAATAACTTGCTTCCACCATTGGGTGCGATTAACCTATTTGTTAACTACAAGAGCAGTGCTATGCTCTGCTGAAAGAGAGAGCTTGTGTTGGTATGGCATTTATGGTGAAATCATTAGGTAATGCATACGTTTAATCCCTTCCTTGCGTCTCTCCTCCGTCAGGTTCTGCGTCGGGGACCGGTTTTACCTGTGCGACAACAAGATCCTGTGTGAATACGACTACGAGGAGCGGATGGTGTTCGCCAACATGTCATACTCATCCGACTCTCTGGCCCACATCAAGAGACAAGTTAGTGACCTCCAG